AGAGAGAGAGAGAGAGAGAGAGAGAGAGAGAGAGAGAGAGAGAGAGAAAGAAAGAGAGAGAGAGAGAGAGAGAGAGAGAAAGAGAGAGCCTGCGTGTTGCCATGGTGAGGACGCACCTGGTGTTAGAGGCAGACTGATTAAGAAACTTTACAGTAAACAGTGATTTTGAACAAAACCCGTGCCTCTTTTTAACAAATTAGCAGGAGTCTGAGTGCCAAAATATGGATACCGTGAGAAAGATAAGACTCTGGCAAACGCGCTGATGTGTTTTTTATGTTTGTGGTGTTAATAATGTGAGCTCCAGAGCAATAGACAAAACTGGTACCATCTGCTTTCTTTGAGAAATGAGTGGTGAGATTTAACATGGAGTCTAATGGAGCAGTTGGTTGGAGTTCATGTCGCTCTGTGGCTCTTTGAGCCAAATGTGTAAGTCCGTTGGATTCCACAGACACTTTACTGCGACCAGCACAACATTTCCAAGCTTTTTGGCCAAAATGGTGTATAAAGAGTAAACAATGTGGGAGCTGGAGCAATTTTGCAATTTGAGCAAATCACAGAATATTTTCCTGCTCCGCTCCACTCTGACAGTTATGCTCTCACTCTAGCTCTTAACGAGCCGTGCAATACACACCCATTATAAAATCTGAAACAGACCCAAAATGTTCCTGAAACTTAATCTGTGACTTCATGAAAACTGTGCTAGCTATCAAAATGTCCCTTTGGCTCAATAAAGTGCAGCGTTTTGTCTACGTTTTAAACTTTGAATCACGTTTCTACGTTAAAGTACGGCTCGTCAATATGGGCCCAAAGTTAAGTGTTTTTTTAGCTCTCTTCACGCCGAAACCCCATTCAAGTGAATGGAGAAATTTTGCACCGTTTTTGGGGATTTTCGGGAAAACCGCTGGGCGAATCTCTCCGAAAAATAGATAGCACACTATTCCCGATCAGGCCACACATTTTGATGTATTTTTCACGCCGCTGTTGGCAACGCTGTGTGAGGAGAAGCGCCCCAAACTTTTTGGATAATAATCATTAGTATGATTAAGCCCGATGGATTATATTCAGTGTGCTTTGTAGCACAAAGGCAGTTACTGCCTTTGTGCTACAAAGCACACTGAACTAAAAGGTAATCTCCAGTGAAGCTTCATTGTGTGACCTTTGTTACGTAACTGAAGTCGTAGATTGAACCCGGACAGGAACAGCCGTCTGCTGGTGAAAGTCCTGTGTTTGTGTGACGTATTGCTGGACCCGCTGGAGGGAAGGGAGGCACGGGAGAACCAGAACCAGGACTGAGAGGGCAGACTGTCAGACCCTGCTGCAGTAGAATGAGAGGTTTTCTAAAGAGTTTGGTGCTCAGAGACAGTACCACTTTAGTCCACAGGGGGCGACAGAATCAACACTACATGAAAGTTCCTTTACAGGTAAAGTAACTTTAAAGGTTTATTTGAATGCCTTCTTCTTCTTCTCCTTCTTTAAAGTGTGCCGGCTGCAGAAGGAACTTCCTGTCCCGGTCTAAGCAGGGTCGTAGTATGTCTCTGAGTCGGACACTTCCTGTTGGCGGTGAAGACACCGAGACACCTGCAGGAGAAGATTCAACACAGTTAGAAGAACAGAACACGGACCTGGTCCAGGATCTGTTCTTCTTCACTCACCGCTCTGCTCTTCCGGCTGCTGATGATGCGTTTCCTGTCTGAGGAGGAAACACGTCTCTGGATCTGCAGGTTGTAGAGAAACAAGACACGCCTCTTCTCCCTCTGACAGAGAGAGAGACAGACAGAGAGAGAGAGAGAGAGAGAGAGAGAGAGACAGAGGGAGAGAGACAGACAGAGAGAGAGACAGACAGAGGGAGAGAGACAGAGGGAGAGAGACAGAGAGAGAGAGAAATTAACACTAAATCAAATTCCTCATAGTAACTTTAAATGGTTTAATTGTTTTTAATTTTGTTCTTTTATTGTCGTTCTTTCTGTTATATTTCATCTTGTTTGTTTTTTGTGGTTATTAATTGTTAAACTTCACCTGTTCAATCTGAGCTAATGATTCAATCTTTTAACGTAAAGTATTTAGTGCTTCAGCTTTAAAAGTGCTGTAAATAAACTGAACTAAGTGTCGGGGCCTCACCGTCTGCTCTGAACTAAGACTTGGGCCTGTTGGTTCTGCAGAGCAGTCTAAAGCCTGATTGAGTGTAAGATCACACAAAGCTCCAGGAGACGCCGAGTCGACCCTCAGTGGGACGTTTCATCCAAACTCAACACTGAGATCTCATTGGACGAGAGACACAGACACCCCTGGACTTCCTGTGCTGCAGCGCTGCTCTCCCCAAGAACTGTGAGACTCTGCGTCACCTCCAGCTCTCTGTCGTTCCACGCCATTCGATTTGCATGCAAGGAGGCACAACAAAGACTTTTCTCTTGAAGGAACCTGAGGTCATGGTCTTAACTTCTCTGTTTTTGGATCCTGGAGAAGAGAACGGAGAACTTCTGCGCCCCGTTCTCTCCCCGTTCACGTCGACATTCTGCCGCTCATAAGGAAGAACATTTCCCGTAATGTCTGAGGAGAAAACTCTCTCAGACAGTTTATCACCGTGAAGCTTGAAGCTCCGCACCGAGTTTAACCGAGAACCTCTGAAGAACCACATCGACCTGAGAAGTCCTCTCACAGTAAGAGGCTTCTCTTAGTGTCTGGGCAGTCAGGTCATAGTGTGTTTATGACCTTGTTGGTGTTGTTAACGTGGTGTTGTGTTTGCTCACGGACCGCCGACTTAGTGCTAAACACAACTACTGTTGTGTTTCATACTGCTGCAATGGTGTGAGATCACCACCGTGATTTTATCATTTCAAAGATCAGAACCGAGTTCACCAGTCGGGTTTCTGTGACAGAGAAACAGTTCCTGTTTTTATATTTGCTGATAACTCAAACACGCTCCTGATAGATCCCAACATAATAATTATTATTATTATTGCTAATAGCTGTTAATGTGTGGTTATTAATCTCTCTCTCTCTCTCTCTCTCTCTCTCAATGTCTCTCGGCCACATTCAGCTGCTATAATTCTCTTACGTTAATCTGCTCTCAGATCAGATTTACTGCAGCTCACAAGGTTTAAACACAGAGAGAGAGAGAGTGTGTGCGTGTGTGTACCTGTGTGTGTACCTGTGCGTGTGTGTGTGTGTGTGTGCGTGTGCGTGTGTGTACCTGTGGGTGGTAGAAGGCAGCGATCACTCTGCGTAGTCTGTTGGTGTAAACCTGACAGCAGGTGAGCAGCGCCACCAACAGGACACAACACACACAGCTGATGTACACACCTGAGGGGAGGGGGGAGGGGGGGGACACACACACTGGAGGGGGGAGGGGGGTTACAGAGGAGGAAGTACTCAGATACTTCACTGCAGTAAAAGTACTAACACCACAGAGTAAAATACTTTGTTACAAGTAAAAGAGCTGCATTCAAAAAGTAAAAATATTCACGTTGCAAAATAATAATTATATTATAGTTTTATAATTATTGAAGCATTAATGTGTTCATCACTTTAAAGGTGGCGCTCATTTCAATAACTTTATAAAATATATAATATTACATCATCATTTATTAGATGATTAGTAATCTGAAGTCACTGAAGCTGTCAGATAAATGTAGAGTAAAAGTAGCTAACATATAAATACTCCAGTAAAGTACAAGTACCTTGTAATTGTACTTAAGTACAGTAGTTGAGTAAATGTACTTTGGTCCAGTGGTTATTGTGATGCAGTTGTGTGTATATGTGTGTCGCCCTCTGCTGGTTCAGTCTGATATCAACATGAACATTAAATATGAATCTGATCCTGAAGGTTTCTGTTCTAATCATTATAATCATTATAATCATTATTATTGTAATAATAATAATACATACAATAAAAATAATTATAATTACAATAAGAAAATAACAAGAATAATCTTTAAAAAAATTAAAATAAATAAAGATAAAGATAAAAACAAAAAGACAGCATTTCCCCTCCAGTGAACTCTCGACCAATCAGAGTCTCTGAGGCTCTAAATCTGTAATCCAATCACTGACGTCTAAATTTAACTTATTACATCAACGTATGACATCATGACATCAGACTACTGTGACGTTCGCTGCGTGGCCTCAGAGTTACCCCGGTTGTCCGTCTGGATGCTGAAGCTGGACGAGCTGTTGAAGGCCGACACCGTCTTCCTCAGGAGGCGGGCCATCATGGAGGCCCCGCCCACTCTGATGTCCACCTGGTGACTGCCTGTGGAGAGGACACCATTACCCAGAAGCCCTCTGACTTTACATTCACACTGACCTAGAACGTGGAGACTACGTGTGTGTGTGTGTGTGTGTGTTTACTGGTCAGGTTGAACTGGGTGACGGTGTGTGTGTGTGTGTGTGTGTGTGTGTGTGTTTACTGGTCAGGTTGAACTGGGTGAAGGTGTGTGTGTGTGTGTGTGTGTGTGTGTGTTTACTGGTCAGGTTGAACTGGGTGAAGGTGTGTCTGCTGACGATGTCCAGAACGTGGAACAGAGAGAAGTCCACAGTCAGCAGGAGGACAGACAGCAGAGAGACAGACAGCACCTGGAACACACCTGGGGTCTGTGGTCACACACGCACACACGCGCACACACACACACGCGCACACACACACACGCACATGTCTGTTTTTATATCTTTATATCACTTTGTAACCTTTGTTAGGAAAAACATTATAAATAAAGTTCATTATTATTGATTAAATGTCCTATTATAATATCATTAATAATAAAGTTAATGATATTCATCTTCATATTAACATTATTAATATGAATGTGATGAACGTCAGCGATGGACCCACCACTTGGTTGAGCTCTTCATGGTGGATCCTCAGACTCCAGGGGTCCATGAACTTCTTCTTCTCTGACTGTTTCAGAGGCAGCAGGCAGCGCCGACCCTGAACACACCACAAGATAAGTCTAACAGAAATATGAAGAAGATGAAGAAGATGATGAAGATGATGAAGATGTTACCGCTCTCCTCCTGCGGGCATCAATCTGCCTGAAGTAGGTGGAGATGTAGACGTTGTCGAATCGAACATCTCTCTTGTACTGAAGGAGGTAACCGAACCCCCTGAGGAGGAAGAACAGGAGGAGGTCATGTTGTCTGTGACTCCCCAGTATAAAAAGAGGAATAGGAGGTCACAGGTCTTACTGGGTGAAGATGGTGATGAAGGTGAAGGAGAGCAGCAGCTGCAAAACCTTCATCACCTCCTCCATGGTGGTCTTCAGCCTCATGAAGGATCCTCTGACGGCCTCAGTGAAGTCCAGCGGAGCTCCGTCCAGCACCTCCTGCTGCTGATGCTCCTGCAGGAGGTGAGAGGTCTCAGAGGTTACAGGGCTCACTCACCTGGTGGAGTTAGTTCAGTGTTAGAGGAGAAGATGGAGACCTGCAGGACCAGCCTGGTGCTGAACTCTCTGGACAGAAGATCCACTGAATCATTGACACGGTCAAACAGCTGGCCGAAGTTCCCCTCCACAGGGATCTGCTCTCTGCACCACGGAGTCATCACTGAAGGAGGAGAAGGAGATCAAGATAAGATAAAGATAAAGAGGTTTTTATTGTCATTGTAGTGATATAACGAAATACCGTTTGGTAGCCTTCAGCCAGCAGCAGCACGAACAACAACGACGATAACAAACAATATACAAGATGAAAATACACAAAAGTAACAAAAACGTCACTAAAGTAATAATAAAATAAAGTTTGTGTGGATTAGAAGAAGAAGAAGAAGAAGAAGAAGAAGAAGAAGAAGAAGAACACACTTTATCTTCAGTATCAAGGCCGTGACACAACATCAAACAACAAGCACCAACAGATGCTGACTCATCAAAATCAAAGTTGTTATGCTGCGTTCACACCAAATTCACGTATTCGCGTCATTCGCGCCGCCGGTCAAAACGCCAGGGACGATTTGTGTTCATGTGCGAATCACGCTGGACGCGCCGGAGAGGGGGCGGGGCTAATCGCCCTGAAAGCCGTTCAACTGTCCGCCATTAACCATGAAAAAAATAACCTCTATTTCTGCTTAGTACGTGTTGTGGAAGTCACAGATATCCCGGGAAACTAAACGCGTCATGTCTGGTTCATAACATTGTCCAGAGGAGCTCCGTGGATGTTATCGAGCTGTGTTCACTGTGTCTAGTGAGCCACACGTCGCTGTTTACTACAGCTGTATGAACACTAAATAAACTGATTGCTGTGATTTAACGGCAATAAACCGACAAAAAGGGACTCCGGAATAACTACGTAATGATGCCGATTTGATCGTAGAGCTCTGGGTGAACACAGACGGCTACAGGATTTATTTCCTGATTCAACAACGGCAGGAAGTCAGTGATGACAGGGGGAGCAACTCAACGCTGATAGGCTATCGCTCCACAGCGTCACGCGAATATTTCGCAGAAGTTGAAAAATTTCAACTCGCGCGTTTGGGGCGATTTGGCGATTGACGCGGATTCGCGTCAATCGCGCCCCAAATTCGCATCCATCGCGCCGCGCCATCACAAATTCGCGCCGCGCCAGTCTCATCGCGTCTGTGCATAGACTTTGTATGTAATCTACTCGCGCGAATAATTCGCGACGTGTTTGGTGTGAACGCAGCATTAGAGATAAACGATGTTTTAACTTTTCAGTGTCAGAGCGAGAGATTAATGTTTCCCTGATGACTCCAATAACTACATCACTGAGCGAGAGTTCATATACAGATGTACAGCATGGCATCGTCTGCTTATTGGCTGATCACGAACCCTCCGCACCTCTCAGGTGGTCTGGATCAGGACTGGTTCAGGACTGGTTTCTGTCCCCAGAGTCAAAATCTTTTGCATCATTTGCAACATTGTCCATCAACTCTGACTGATGTTTGAGCACCAAGCATCATTGACGTAAACACAGAGTCCTCCTCCTCTGGAGTCCTGATCGCTGTCCTGTGGTCCCTCAAGTCCAGCTTTGATCTGGTCGCCACGATGGATCCAGGTCTCTGTAAATATGTGGTCTCACAGTCACCGACCTCCGGATGCTGGGTTCTCCTGAAGTATTATTGCAGCCATCCATCCATTTTCCTCCGCTTATCCGGGGTCGGGTCGCGGTGGCAGCAAGCCAAGCAGGCTGACCCAGACCTCCCTCTCACCGGCAACATGTTCCAGCTCATTCTGGGGGATCCCGAGGCGTTCCCAGGCCAGCTGGGAGATGTAACTCCAAGCTCCCTCCTGATGACCGAGCTCCTTACCCTATCTCTAAGGCTGAGCCCGGCCACCCTACGGAGGAAGCTCATTTCGGCCGCTTGTAGCCGCGACCTTGTCCTTTCGGTCACGACCCAGAGTTCGTGACCATAGGTGAGGGTAGGAACGTAGACCGAGTGGTAAATTGAGAGCTTTGCCTTCCGGCTCAGCTCCCTCTTCACCAAGACGGTCCGGTGCAGCGCCTGCTTTACTGCTGCAGCCGCACCGATCCGCCTGTCTTATTGCAGCCATCGTATTTAAAACAAGACCTCAGACAGCCAGGAGCATGCTGGGTAGTGTAGTAGCCTCGGGTTCTAGCTGGGTTAGCTTAGCTTCCATCTTGCCTCACTGTTCTGTGGGCGTTGGTTGTCTGAAGGTCCGCTGTACTTGATCCCTCACGCTTCCCTTTTTTTCAATGTTATTAAAAGTATTCTGTCAAACTTCACAAGTGCTCCAGAAATAAAAACGAAAAAACTAAAAATGAAGACAAAAAATGTATCAAAATGTAATGTGAGCTACCGAGCGATCCCTGATATAACGGACGCTATCGCCGCATTTACGCTAACCTTTTAAGGAGCCGCCATTGTTGTTTTGCACAAACAGTCACCACTCGTCGTTGAGTCACACACACCTAAGCCCCGCCCCTAACTAGCCGTAGGTCCTCGCAGGACGCTGATTGGTGGAGACGGACTATACTTTCGACCACCGCGACCCGGGACGGATGGTTTAACGGAGACCACCTAGGACTTCACCTCTCATGATGTCACACAGGAAGTGGAACTTCATGGAGACGCAGAGGATGTGGTTGATGACTGGGACGGAGATCGCCTCCATACACTCCGCCCACTTGCGGCCGAACCAATCGGCACATCGCTGCACGCCCTCATCCACCAAACCTGGATAACACACACACACTGCATGTAAAGTCCTCATGAAATGTGTCCCCGTGTCTAACAACCTCTAATCTTAACTCACTGTCGCACTGCATCATGGTCTTGTAGTTGAACTGGTCCTGCGTGCTGTTGCCGGCGGCGTTGTGTTTTGCGTTGAAGCGGTCGTATCCGTACTGAAGAACGACTTCATCTCTGATATTCTGGAAGTTGCTGCCGACGCTCTGAGCCTCCGACTGAAACTCTGCTTCATCGTCCTGAAGAAGGAACGAGGAGACGGATCTGTGACTACGTTTACGTGAACATTAATATTCCTGTAATATCCAGAATGTGATGTTTTCATGTAAACACATATTGTGAATGACTTCTTCATATGAATGGATCATGTGCAGAGTAAAACATAATAAGTCATCCGTTCAGCTCTCTGTGGCAAAGTGAATAAACTGCAAAACAGGAAGTGGTAAAAGTATATAAGTAATGAAAATACATATAAACATGTGTATACAGACATAAACAGATACTAAAACAATCAGTAAAAAGTGAAACATTGTTCAACACATTGTGACCAAACACCTGCTGAAATAATTGTCTTCCGATAATTAGCACTGTTAGCATACTGACACGCTGAGCTAAGACGGCAAACATTACACCTGCTGAACATCAGCACGTTAGCGTTTAGCTGAAGGAGCAGCTAAGCTCTAATGAGTCCAGGCTCGTGGAGCAGCTAGCTTAGCGTGGCGGTTAGCGTAGCGGTTAGCGCTCACCATCAGCTCCTGTGTGATGAGGATGAACGGCTTGATGGCGTCTCTCCACAACAACTTGCTGTGATGAACCTGCAGATCCAGATTACAGCTCAGAGTCAGAGCGGCTTTCTCCACATTACGCTGGACGTTAGAGACGGGACCTGAGACACCACGGAGAGACAGACGGGCTCGTTAGGACCTAGG